AACAAAACAAAGTGAAGGAGATTTGAGTCAGGGATCACTTTTTTTCTTTCTCTCCTCTAGCTTTCCTTCTCTCCTCTCTAGTGTTAGGGGGGAAAGAAGGGAGAGAGGGTGAATAAACAAAAGGGGAAGATATAGGGATGAAAAGACAGAAAAGAAGTTGATTACTTAATCTACTTTTAGACTAGAAAGCAACTATAATTCTCAAATAAAACACTGGTATGGATTTTTTTATAGTGATAAAAATTTAAGGTTATATTTGCTACAATGCACTGCATATATGTGTAACTCTTGTTTAAGGTATTTTATCTATGAAACTCATTTAAAATTTTAACATAAAGCTCTAGTCGTTTGAAAGCTACTACTACAAACCTAAGGATAATTAAGGACTGCAAGTTAGTCACCTATAATAAAACTTGTAGTCTTGTTAGTTACTAATTTAGTTAATTACAGAAGTAAGCTTAATTTAGCCTCCTGTAGATGTTTTTTAAATTTAAGCAGATAGTAAATAGCTAGAAACAAGCAACGTTTACCTATTTAGATTTATTTTAGATAGATAGACAGTCTTCAAACCCTTCAGAGACCTGCAGAATATGACATTTAAGATATATTATTAACAAAAGGCTTTTCTAGCTGGGGGCGATGGCACACACCTGTAATCTAGCACTTGGGGAGGCAGAGGCAGGTGATCTCTGTGAATTTAAGGCCAGCTTGGTCTACAAAGCTATTCCAGAATAGCCAAGGCTACACAGAGAAAGCCTTTCTCAAAAAGCCAAACCACCAACCAACAAACAAAAAGGCTTTTCTGACAGATATGTGTCAACCCCTGGCAGTGCCACCATTATCCTTCAAAGAAGATGATGGGCACAAAAAACCTCCACATGGAGCCTGCTTCAAGTGTGGCGAAGCTACCACTGGGGGAAAAAACAGCTCTTACCAAGACTGTTGCCAGCAGCTTGTCCAAACTGGACAAGCAGGACACTGGAAAGTGGACTGACCAACTTTGTAGGGAAAAGATAGGACAGTTCTAAATAATTCCTGCTTCACAGAAAGTCTGTCAGATATTCTGGGCCTATAGGCCAAAGATGGATGCCCAAATGTTACAGAGGAATCTTAGGTGACTGTCCAGGCAGCTATCAGTCTCTGTCATTTTTACAGTTTTAGAAGCTGCTTGTTATGACCTTCTTGTTTACTCAGGTAATATTTATCCTTCTCAGGTCTCTGATGGGGTTAAAAACTAGATAGTTGTAGTCTCACATATAAGCTTAAGTTGTTTAGGATTTAAGAAATGTTTTAAGGTCTGAAAAGATATTTTTACATTGGTAATGCAAGTTATGATAAAAAATGATTTATGTACATAACTTTGAACTAAACAGATAGTATAGATAGTAAAGTACTTTCTCCAAAGTTGCCAAATATATATGGACTGGACATTTTGAATGTAATTCTTACCTGACAGTTCTCGTAATTGTTTTTATTGCATATAGTTTATTGATTTTATAGAAAGAGCCTTTTACTGGACTAAAAGGGGGAGATGTTGGAGTAATCTTTTGTGTATAATGTAAAGGTTGTCTTTGTAACATTCACATGTTGATTTCTGTACCAGCAGAGAGCTGTGTACTGTCAGACTTTGGTACTGTTATTTTTATGAAGCATCACCTGCTTCAGTATTTTGTAAACATGGACCATTATCACCTCCTGATTGGTTTAGTAAAGAGACGACAGTGAATAGATGAGTCAGGAGAGAAAAGGCAGGACTTCTGGGCAGAGATGGGAACTGTGGGAAGAATCAGGCACTAGAGATTCGCCAGCACAACAGGGAGGTCAAAAGAACATGTCTCGGAATTGAGACAGAGCTAATGGGCCACAGGCAAGATGTGGACTAGAATACTGGGTTAATTAAGTTAGTCACACTAGCTGTGAAGTAGCCCAAGCTAAGGCCTCAACTATAATGAATAATAATAGTCTCTGTGTCAATATTTGGAAACTGGAGGCCAAGACAGTCTCAGAAACTAGAGTCACAGTATTATTCTAACAGGTATGGTAGCACATGCTTCTAACCTCAGCACTTGGGAGGCAGAGGCAGGAGGATCTGAGTTCTAGGCCAATCTGGTCTACAAAGCGAGTCCAGAACAGTCAGGGCTGTGTTACACGGAGAAACCCTGTCTCAAAAAACAAAAAACAAAAAACAAAAAAAAAAAAAAAGAAAGAAAAAGAAAAAAAAACCCAAGTATTTTCCTTTTCTCCCTAAACAAGGAGTAATGTTCCCAAACTGTTTGATTTCTGAAGTGTTCTTCCCCCTCAGTGCTGTTCTCCCATCAAAACAACAGCTGCTGCTGGGTGTGGCACAGCCTGTAATTCATAACACTCAGGAAACTGAGGTAGAAGAAATTCTGGCTTTGAGCCTGACCTTGACTGCATAAGGCTTTCTAAATGGGTAAATAATTAAGTGTTAAAACAATGTTCTCATTTTACAACTTAAAGAGTTTTCTGGTTTTGTCACATCTCAAGAGGCTCCACAGTATTTCTCAACTAAAATGTATAGAGAATTTCCAATCTAAACTTTACAGAACTTCTCATTAATGTCACAGTAACGAAATGAGGGAGGTTTGATTGTTGCCAATGTAGAATTCAGTAAACTGAGAGACAGTTGAAAAAAGGTGCTCAAAGTAACAAAGCTGGTCATTGGTTAAACTCATGATGCTGATCTTATGTTAATCCCTTGCTCCTGTGGAGATGTAGGGTGACTCTGTCTCCTGAGAAAAGAAACCCTTATTCCAACTCTGCTTGTTTTTGCCTAAACTGAGTCATTAGAACTAATCTGGATATAATGGATTCAAAATTTATATTGCTAGGGCAATGTACACTGAAGCAAATCCACACATAATATTTTAATTTGAATTTTGTATAATAGAAAGTCAAAGCTGAAAGTACATAATCTCAATTCTTATTGAAAGGAATAAAAATAATTACTGTTATCTAAGTAGGATATTCTAAGTCCTTATGATAAATCAGTGAATATTGCCTTAGCAGAGATTATAAAACGGCTAAGAAACATAAGAATAAATATATTATATGATATATACCACATAAAGATGACAGTTTTGGACTATAGAAAGGGTACTCTTCCTTATACAAACTAGATTGATAATGGCTGAAATTCAAAGCTCTCTGGCTACAAGGTGCAAGCTCTTTCTGAGAAGGGTCGCCTGATAGACTTTTGCAACAACTAAGTTTCAAAATATGATTAACTGGGCTTTGCTTGTTAGAGACCAAAACTTTAAAATTTCTTGTTTCTTTGCTTATTTAAAGGCTTTGCGTTAGAATGATATAGGTTTAAAATAAAATATTTTAAATAAAACGGTGATGGCACATGCCTTTAATCCCAGCACATAGGAAACAAAAACAAGCATGTTGGTCCTGATCGACTTAATTTACATAACAAATCAGGGTGGCAACTCCTGCTATTAAAGCCAACTGCAAAAACAGTCCAGGATTCAAAGCCAAGTGCAAAAACAGTCCAGGATTTGAGGTTACTATGTAAGTTCTTTTTTTTTTTTTTTTAATAGTGGATGCTATGTCCTTACTGAACCATAAAGGTTGGATAATCTTAGGGATGATAATAATAATAATAATAATGATGATGATGATGATGATGATGATGATGATGATGATTATATAGCCCAACAATTTTTTCATTTACTACAACATCAGACAAGACAGGTCTTGAAAGGTCCTGTTTAGCTCCTATTTAGGATCTGCTCAAACAATGGATATGGGGGCAGAAAAAATAAAAAGAGTAAAATTCTTGGCCTACGAAACTATTAGATAATGGCCATAAACTGCAACACTAAAGGCAGGTAAGTAGAGCATTTGAGGGTGGGGTAAGTCTGAGATGTCCTAAAAATAAAGTGAGGAATAGGTATTTAAGGAGAAAGAAGAGATCATCTATGTCAAATGCTGCAGAAAGGTAAAGGGAGATAAGAACTCAGATTAGCGATTTAAGTCAAAAGGGGCCCTGACTTGTTTCAAGAAATTTGGCTACGCAGTGTACGTCAGTGGTAAAATATTTGCTCAACAAGAAGAATAAAGGAGGATGAAGGAAGAAAAACAAGGAAGAGAAGAAGGATGATGAAGGAAGAGAACAAAGAGACAACAGCAATGGCAGCAGCAGCCATGAAGAGACAAAAAATAAGAACTAGTATGTGGTGGGAAAATTGAGAGCCAACCAAGGCTAAAGAGTACACCATATTTCACCTCTGCCATTACAGAAAATGTAGAGCAATTGACTCCTGTCAAAGTTAACTGCTATCTAAAAAAAGCAAGAAGGAAAGGAAAATGATCTTTTTCAAGAGAACACAATACACAATACAATCTAAACCGTCATAAATAACTCATCTGAAATTACAACACAAATAAAAAGGAAGATATTATTCATCATTCCTTTAAAGATCATTCAGTAATTTCTGAAGGATCTATAATAATATAACACTCAAGCTGTCAAAGAAAATCTGTTCAAAAAAGAGCAACAAAATCTCAAGAGAAAACAAAAACCATTAAAACAAAAGAAAAAACACACTAAAAAACTATCTAGACATTCCAGAAGTATAAAATAAACAAACAAACAAACAAACAAGCAAACAACTCTTCTTCAACAGATATAGTAATGAGCTGAGGAAGGTAAAAAGAACCTTACATTCAAAGAACACCATATTGAATGAGGTGAAATAAAGATTTAGGAGAAACACACTTTCATCAGCTCCATGATTTGAAGAATGCTAAATATTCTTCAGGATGAGGTCCAAATGAGGACAGAGGCATCCTGGAGCTTCAGAAATGGTGAAGAGTATTGAATTACAATGTGAGCAAAAATTAATAAATGAGTTTTCTTAATATACTTAAAAGGCATATGACTGCTTGAAAGGTCTAACAATAAATGACCAACCAGCCTCAGGTGCCATCCTCCTTTCTTGTGTCCCCTTTGTACCCTGGAGACGAAGTACCTGCTTCAGTTTCAGAAAGAAGTTTTCAGTAGTGCTTCGTTTGCTGAAGGGCCAAAATAACCTTTCATTAGGTGAGCAAACTCGAACTTTTGTCTCTAGGAGAAATCGAACAGGCTCCTGTACTTCTGTTATCACCAAATCCACAGCTGTTGTCATGAACAACACTTTATCTAGAGAGGAATAGAAATGAGAGAGAAAAGACGGAAATATATTTACTCATTTAATCACTTAAGTAATTGCTTTTAAGTATTTAAGATATCCTGTTTTGTTTTGTTTTGAGGTGTTTTTGTTTTTTTTTTTTTAAAAAACAGGGTTTCTCTGTGGAAGCCTACCTATCCTGGAACTCGCTCTGTAGCCCAGGCTGGCATCAACCTCAGAGATCTGCCTGCTTCTGCCTCCCAAGTGCTAGGATTAAATGTGTGCACCACCATGCCTGGATGAGAAAACTTGTTTATGCATTACTCAGTAGGCCGACTTCAGAAAATATTCCTACAGAAACTATCTTTGAATCAGCCTAAGAAAGAGCTTTGAGTCTCTCTGTGGGAATGGACAGTGGCAGACTGTCTTTTCTCTATATATATAATGTTTGATTTTTTTTTAAACTATATATGCAGGGATTATCTCTACAAAACCAAATTTTAGAAGTCTACTTATAAGAAATAAGAGAAGCCAATCAATTATGGCTCAGGAGGAAAAGGTGCTTGCCACCAATCCTGATGATCTATGTTCAATCCCAAAATTATTGATGGTGGAAGAAGAGGACCAATTTCCATTGAACTCCACTTGTACCCTGGCTAACACTCTCCTTCTCAGCACACATATCCACAAACAAATACACCAATATAATGAAAAAAAGGGAAAGAGAAAAAAAGAAAAATAAATAAGCAAAAATGATACCATTTTTAGGTTAAATTTTAAAATTTAAGAAAATCAAGAATAAAATGTAATTCAAGGATTATTAAAATTATTTATTTCATTAAGATTTCCTAATAAGCTGGGTGTGATGGTACTCCTGTAATCCGAGCACTTGGGGAGGCAGAGGCAGGAGATCTGTGAGTTCAAGGCCAGCCTGCTCTACAAAGTAAGTCTACACAGACAAACCCTGTCTCAAACAACAACAAACAAACAAGATTTCCTAATAATAGAATGTGTACATAAAAAAAAATAATAATAAAAAAAATCTTGATCACCAGGCCAGGTATGGTGGTGAACACCATTATTCTCAGCATTTGAGAGGCAAGGCAAGAGGATCTCTGTGAGTTCAAGGTAAGCCTGGTCTACAAAGTAAGTTACAGGCCATCCAGAACTACACAGAGTCCATGTCTGAAAAACCAAAAACTCAAAAAAAAAAACAAAAACAAAAAAAAAAAAAAAACCAAAAAAAAAAAAAACCAGTATCATCTGGGGGCTGGAGTGGTGCTCAGTGGTTAACAGGACTTGCTACTCTTTTGGGGGAACCAGGTTTAATTCCCAGCATCCACACTGTAGCTCAATTATCTGTAACTCCAGTTTCAAGAGACTTAACACTCTCTTTTAGCCTCTATTGACATCAGGCATGAATGTGTTACACAGACATATGTGTAGCTAAAACACCCATACATGTATAATAAATAAATCTTAAACAAACAAACAAAAAAACCAAAAAACCTCTTTACTACCTTTAGGAGTTTCTTCATTCACAACTTGAAAATGTGGAGATTTTGGATTCCAGCTTCCAGTAATAACATATGACTTTCCATCTGAACTTTTGCCCATAGACTCCTAAAGAAAAGAGTAAAGATAAACCTTAATGCCAAAGGAAGCTAACCCTTATCTTGAGGCTTTTAAAAAATAGAGGAGTTCAAAATATATAATCCTTATTAATAAGGATTGTAGTGATTTTTAAGAATTTATAGTATATTGGATTTACAACACAGAAGTTTCCAAATAAATATTAAAAGCATACAAGAATATGAAGTACAGGAAAAATTTTACACCTCAAGCTATATTGAACTGCTTGTGGTCTCTTCCACATTCCACACTGTTGGAGAGATCTATGATAGGAAAGAGGGAAATCCCAATGTCTCAAAACCAACGAGGATGGAGTGATTTGAAACTGATCTGCCAATGGTTGCAAACAAGTTTTACTAATTGCAAACCACCTGACTAATGACTAAGCAGGCTGTGTCCATATGAAAAATGCTAACTAACCAAGTTATATCCCAAACAAACCAACCACTTCCTGTAATAGCTTCAACTTTGAAGGTGTTTATGAAGCACGAGTGTGCTGACATTAATGGTACCTGTTTTGATTCAAGGGACAAATGCACCAAAGGCATTAAACCAGACTCCTCTACGGCTGCCTCCACAACCATCAACTTAAAATCGCCCTCAGGGTGCCAGCACACACACTCCAGAGGAAACAAGTAAGTGAGCTGTCTGCCTTCCTTCCAAGTTCACCACTGCACGTATAGTAATTACTCACACTTGCAATTGCTTGGCCTTCTCTGGGATGAAACAGCAAACCATTAATGAAATCTGAATGGCCCTCTAAAACCTTATATTCATTTTTATCTTGATGATCTGAAATAAATAAACCTAATTTTCATATTAGCAGCTGAAGTACAAAATTTGATTAGTGGAAGAAATGATTCAAGTCTCGTTTTTGGATTCCTATGTTATCAATAATGACTCTAAGATTTAATAATTTATAGTGTTTAGGACTCAGTTCTTTCCATTTCTTCCTCCTGAGATGTACAATGTCAATAACCAAAGAAGCACAGCCACTATATTCAGTTAGATTTATTGACTCCACAGTATCAAAGGCATCATATGCTACTACATGCACAATCCACAGTGCAGGCAGCTTTTCTCTGGCATCTTGCTTTTCATTGTATGACCAAATTCAAAAGACAATATAACAGCCTTCTACTGAACAGTGTTGTAAAACAAAGAAGGCCTTGAGTAAGCTGTTCAACTATCAGTGATTTGTTTAAAGGCAGGGATGCATGTGAATACTTACAGCAAGATTAAAGCTACATCAATTATTTGTATAAATGTTCCTAAAATTATGTGTAAGGTCAATGTATATAAATCACATCAAATAGAAAAAACTGGTGAAATTTACCTCTCAAAATGCTATGTTAAAATTCTGTCAACAGAATGATCAGCATATAATTTCTAGATTGCAGATAACGATTTTCATATTCTAGTAATAATATGGATAACTCCAACTTCTTGCATTAACTTTTGCTTGTATTTATTCATTTATTTATTCATTTATTTATTTATTTATTTATTTATTTATTTATTTATTTTAGATAAGGTCTTACTGTGTGACTACCTCAGACTCCCAAGGGCTGGAATTAGAGGCATATGCTACCATGTACAATTACTCCTATTTGTAAATAAAGGACACAACAGTTTGATTCTCACGCAATCTTACCTGCTGAGTAAACAACAGTTATTCTAACCATTACATAGGTCAAGACACCAAAGCTGAGCCACTCATTCAAAGTTCGACTTCAAATCCATGTCAGAAATAAGAAAATTTCCTTATCTTTATGCACTGCTTTGTAGTGTACATAGACACTTATACAAACATGTTTTGAATCCCATGTGATAAAGTAAACAATACACTAACAAAACAGAAATAGTTATAACCTTCTAATAAGAACCAACCACAACCAAAAGAACCCACAACAGCAAAAACTCTCACCAAATCCAACAAGTGCATATCACTATTTCGGACATCTTTTCCTGGGCTAAGGAGAAGACCAAAGCACCTGCACAAAAAAACAAACAAAACAAAACAAAAAACTAACATAAACTTGTGATAACTTATAACATGCAGGTACATTTTAAGTTATGTCACTTAAAAACTATTTGCTTATGGGTAGGAACAGGGCATTAAAATAAATCAGTATGTCACAATCATCATCTTTACCTGGGCTAAGCAAACTTTGTCTTGTATTATCACATACTGGAGATTAGCAGTATTAACTGAAGATTTATGAGAGTGATTTCAGAGTAATCAAACACTCTCTACAATAAGCACAATTATCAAGAGGTCAAAATAGTTTGCAAGTAAATTTTTTAATACAGTAAGATAGAAACCAAAAGTCATATTTAAACTAAATATAAAAAGAAATGTTTACCTTTCAATGGCAAGTTCTTTATTAGCTGTTTGCTGCACACAGATGACAATTTTCTTATCGATTCCTTGGCGAAGTTTAAAGCATTGCCTGTCCTTGTCTTTGGGAACAGCACTGTAAAGCCAACACATTTCATTAATGTTGCAAACAGTTTTCTTGTCAGACATAATGATAACAATTATTTTTAAAAAGCTTACATTTCTGATTCTTTCCTCTGGTTTACAAGTAATAGCAAAAAAGAAGACAGAATTGAATACGAATAACAGGATAAAAAAATATAACCAATTTATTTATTGCCATGATCAGTTACTGTTCTTAGGTACTGATAACCCATATGGTACCAATACTAATGTTATTATTAAAATGAGTAGCTAATAAGATTTAAGAAAGATTAAAATATTCTTAAAAAGCCACTTTACCTAATCTCCCACATACTCTCTAGCTCTAGCTGCACTACTCTCAAAGGTAACAGTGCCACAGGTGACTAGCTTTGCACAGCAAGTCTTACTGCTTTAACATACTAACTTAATGGCAGTGGAACTATTGGTAGACAAATACATGAGTAGGTGAAAACTGTTAACATTCATTACTTAGATAATACCTTGAAGTACATGTGCATTTGTGTTACTTGCCAATCTAATATTCTGTAAGACTTTTTCATTATAAAGCAAAGAATTCTTACAAAGGCATTTAGAAATGACAAACACGTTCAAAGAAAAAATGTGTGCTCCAATTTCTGGTAGACAGGTCTCAATTTTCAACTGTCCTTATGTGCCTTAGTCTCTTACGAGCAAAGGCTAACTAAATACAAGTAAACATAACCTCTCTCAGCTATTTGGAACACTGAACAGGCTGAGTGAGATGCAGCTCAGCATACAGTGCTTGCTAAAAATGCCCTGGATTCAATCTTTGGTGCTACAGAACAATTCAACTCAGTATAAAGTCATCTCTGATGCCATGGACCTAAGAAGATTGCGTTGTGGATATAAACATGCTTTTGTTTTAATGGGGGACTGATTCAGATGGTCCACAGCAGCAGACTATTTGCCTCATGTGGGCTCAGAGAGCTCTTTGCCAGATAGTTTAAATCTGAAAACTCTAGAAAGAGAATATATGCCAGAGCCCAGAGAGTGTTGGAGAACTCTGAGAAAGAACAAGGAGGCTGATGCTTCTCCACTGTAGCTTCTGTGTGCTGTTGTGAGACAAGAAGTTGGAGATCTCCTGAAATGAGGATTGGACTTGCAACAAGGAACCCAACAACCCTAACCAGCAGGAAGCAGCTAGGAGAACTACATCCCACTTCCACTAATCCTTCCTCTCTCCTACCTGGTGTTGGGGTGTTGGAAGAGACTGGGGTGGAGTAGGGCAAAAGAGATATTAAAAATGTAAATAAGAGTTTTTAAAAAATACACCAACAAGATTGTTGTACTAATATGAGCAGAATGGAAAGTATAATCAGTGGGAAGTCACTTTATTGAACATTCGGGCCAATTCATATTCCTTGTCCTATATCTATGTTACATAAAAGAGTAACTTTACATTTACTCCTCATAGTTCAACTTAAAAAGAAATGATCAAGACTTAACAGTAGGAGTCTGAGGCACAATTTTATCTGGTTGAGTTGCTTCGAAGGTTAAATGAGAGCAAATCAAGCAAGCAAGTACCTAGCCAGGCAACCAACCAACCAACCATTTTTAAAGTTTCTAAAGTTTTAAAGTTTTTAAAGTTTTTTATATGCTGCTTTATAATTATAACAATGTAAGATTTACTTCTTTTTTCTAGTAATGAAACTGGCCACCCAGATGGCATGACAAGGCCAAAGAGAGAGCAGTTTCACACAAAACCAGTCGGTCAGCTATTGTGCTTTTCATTGAAAAGTGGTAATTAGAGATAATTTATATTTTCTCATAATTTTATTTTACCTATTTTATGAAGAGATTTGTACATGTAATTATTATGACCATCATTTTATGATATATGATATGGAAAAAAAAGAGTCGCTTTGCAATCATAACTTAACTTTAGACACAAGGGATTTGCATCTATCCACTGCATTTTAAGTAAACTATAAACTGGAGAGGTAAAGGATCTTTAAAATGGCCACACTGTTAAAAGTTGCAACAATTAAACACAAATTTGATTTTTATTTTAGGGTCCTTGCTACTACTCAAGGAAATATTTTCTTTAAAAATTAAATTAGCCAGGCATGGTGGCTTACATCTATAATCTGGTCCCTGGAGGCTGAAACTGGAGGGCAACTGTGAATTTGAGGCCTCAGCTGCATTTTGAGATCCATTCTTTCTTTTTTTTTCCTTTAGTTTTTCAATACAGGCTTTCTGTGATTAGTCATGGCTGCCCTGAAACTCGATCAGTAGGCCAGGCTGTGAACTCAGAGATCTGCCTGTTTCTGCCTCCCAGAATGGTAACAGGATCACTACGTCTAGCTTACACTGAGTTCTAGGCCACCCTGGGCTATACAATGATATCTTATCTCAAAGAATAAATGAAAGAAATAAAATAATGAGATGAACACCAAACTTAAGTTATTTTTAACTATATATACAAGGCTAAACTTGGGACAAAGCCTATACTTCCCCCATAGTGTGCTTACATAAACTTTAATGGTAAAACTGGATGTCAGAAACCATAAGATCTTTAAAAACCAGTCAACCAAATTAACGAAACAACACAAAAAGCAAGACAAACTGTGCTGAATAATTTTATGTCAACTTGATACAAGCTAAAGTTACATGATAAGGGGAACCCAATTAAGAAAATGCCTTAATAAAAATGTAGCTGTAAGCAAGCCTGTAGGCCATTTTCTTAATTACTGATTTATGGGAGAGGCTACTGCGGGTGATGGCATCCTTGGGCTGCTGGTTCTGGGTTGTTTAAGAAAGCAGGCACGAGGAACAAGCCAGTAAGCAGCACTTCTCCATGGCCTCTGCATCAGCTCCTGCCTCCAGGTTCCTGCCCTGCTTGAGTTCCTGTTTTGACTTCCTTACAATGATAAACTGTGATGTGGAAGGGTAAGCGGAATAAATCGTTTCTTCCTCAGGTTGCTTTGGTCACCACAGCAATAGCAATACTAAGACACAAATATAGCTATAAATGTAGTCTATCTAATGTTGGCCATAATTTTTATCAACTGCCAGCCAGCCATTCTGACTAAAATAATATAGTAACTGATACTACATAATTGTGTTTCAATGCTTTAAACAATGTGGCTGGGTAGTTGTAGAGACTCTCTAGTGTATGGAAGCCTTTAACTCCTGCATATGGAGGCAAAGGCAGGTGTATCTCTTTGAGTTCACGGCCAGCCTGGTCTACAGAGCAAGTTCCAGGACAGCAAGGGCTACAACAGAAACCCTATATTGATAAGGAAAAAAAAAAAAAAAAAAAAAAACAGAGAGAGAAAAGAAAAAAATAATACTGTAAATATATCTTTTCTCCCTTTATCACTGTTATCGACTTACCCCACAGAAGTAATCATTTCAAGTATGAAAGGTATCTATTCTGACCTAGTGTCCTCTGTACCACAATAAAAGTGTACTAAATAAATTCAACAAATTAAATAATGCAAGATACTCTACCTAAAATAACCTTTACCATCATCTTCTTTTATTTCTAAAGACACAGAGAAAGTAAAGATGTCACTGTCAGGAGTATGCGGTGCAGCTGTGGCTGAGAGTGGGGTCTGCTTGGCAGAGCGGCGAAAGGCGGTGGCAAAACTGTAAAGTATCCGGCTTACCTATAAGCAGACATGGCAGGAAACTGGCTGTTATCATTAAGACAGAAAACACTCTACCGCCAGTGACTCATGAAAGCATTTGCTGCATAATTTCCCTTACATGAAACAAGAAAAACAAACTTTTGGGGATACAGCTCAGAATGTTTTTTCATAGATGGGGTGGGGAAAGGGGTCTAAAAGGGATCATTCCTGAATTCTGGGTGTACTCTGTATCTTGAGCTGGGCAGTGGTAGAAACTCATCAGGTTGCCACTGAGGAGGTATGCACTTCCTACAAAGTCCTTTTGGGGTGAATTAGATGATGCAGCAGGTGAAGGCACTTTTCCTGAAAGCCTGGTGACTGGAGCAGGATCCCTGACTCTCCATAAGGGTGGAAGGAAAGGACCATTGTCAAAACTGTCACCTCAATTCCTCCTGCAACCCCTGCATCATGTGCACAAACATGCAATCATAAGAAATACAGAAAATAAAAAGAAAGTACTTTATTAAGGTTAAATGCTTATTTACTTGGGAGAAGGTAATCACTTCTCTTTCCCTTACGGATTTTTTCAGTTACTTAACTAATTTGTTAAGTTTCTAAAACAAAATCATCAAAGAGGGATTTAAAAATTAAATAAATAGTTAAAAATATTACATGTTTAACAAAAACACTTTTGGAATGCTAGACTCTGTGTAAATACACTTTTAATAACAAGTAAGGCTCTAACAAGATTAGGACCTACTCAGACCAGAACAGCTTGCAAATGTGTCACTGTTAGGATAAGAATGTGGATCTAATCCAACCAACAGATCACCAACAGGCCTCTTACAGCACTGCATGTGCAACTGCCGAGTGTGTTCACATGCACAAGTGTGTTCACTGGTGTGTGTGCAGTGTGTACACATGGAGGTCAGAGGTTGCAGTTGGGTGCCTTTACCTATTAGTCTCTATTTTGGGGGATAGGGTTTCTCACTGAACCTGAGACTCTCTGTTTAGGCTAAAATGGCTGCCATCAAGCCCCTGAATCCACCTATGCCTGGGTATTGAAATGCACTACCATGCCTAGCTTTTCTATGTGGGCGCTGGGGACAAGATTCAGGTCCCATGCTTGTATAACAATCATTTTAGTCACTGAGCTGTCTCCCTGTGGCACTTGCAGCAACAGAGACAGTGGCAAAATCTCATTCGCAGTTCTCTCCTAATGACTTACAGCTTCTTGTATTTCACAGCGAAAGACATGTATCCTGAAGAGCTCTGCGTTATAGTGACTTTCAGTGAATGCAAAACAGTCACTCTCAGGAGTTCCATCGTGCCCTCTGACACAGAAGAGGATTTTGTAGATAGGGTAGTTTGCTATTTCCGTATTGGTTTGAGGATCTAAAAGTCTGTTCAGAGAAAAAAAAGGAGATTAGTTATGAGCAACTTGTACTGCATTTATATTAAGACTCAAGAGATCTTGCCCAGAAAATCATGTAAGTCACTTTTAGTATGCTAGCCATGTTAATGTTGAATTGTGATATATAAGTCACTCATGAATGTTGAAGGTACTGATCACATTATTCCATGGTACCAAATCTAGACAATTTATGTTTGGGAGAGGTATTAATATCAGCAAATATGATTCTTTTTGTTTTAGTTATTTTGAGACAAGGTTTCTCTGTGTAGCCCTGGCTGTCCTGGAACTCACTCTGTAGACCAGGCTGGCCTCGAACTCAGAGATCCACCTGCCTCTGCCTCCCAAGTGCATGGCTTAAAGGCGTGTGTCACCACTGCCCAGCAGCAAATATAATTCTTATAACCTGCAACTAAATAAACACAAGATCAGTACATAAATTATAAGACTACTAAAACAGACTGAGACCTTCACATCTGATTTTCTTAAAAGAATGTTGTTTGTAAAAGTAAAAAAAATTACAGTGCACGACTAAGCACAAAAACTAATGTTTAAAAACCAACACATAAAATTCCAAAGAATGCCAAGCAGTAAAAATTAAAAGGAAACCAATCAAATCTATTCACACCACAGGTGACAGCTACAATATTCTAGACTCTGTTCAGGGCACTAAAGACAGAATTATGGAAGGCCACAAAAAACTATGTAATTTCCATACTGCAGGGCAAAGTTATCGAGGGGAAATGTCCTGGGAACCCTGTTCAAAGTAAAAGAACCCCAAAGGCCCTCTAACCCGGGTTAAAGACACTTTCATAAAAGCTCTGAAAATGTGGGACATGACAGATACGTTTTCTCATTTCCTTACAGAAGGAAAATCTATTAGAACAAAGTATAATTTCAGTTATTAGAATAAGAATTCTCTTTAAAATGTACATTAAAAGTAACTAGATTTGAAATCAGAATTTGAGATTCTAAAACCAATACCCAAAGACAAATTACATGTTCAGGTTAACTATGTAACTTCCTACTTTCTATATGTTGCTTCTACACTGCTACTATGAAAATCCAACAACTTTCTAAGGATACTGAAACGACACTAAACCCATGATCAAAGTATAAACTGGATCAATTATTTCTAAACCCAACAAAAGCAGTAATAGGGAAGCTTTTAATCTAGTAATCTAGAATGTATCCTAAGGAAATAAAGATCAAGTAAATTACCCACTTATAAAGCACTCAAACACCTATATAATAACTGATACTATTATTAACACTTTTCTCATTAAAAGAAAAACCTTTTAAAATGTCTAACATTAGAAATGGTTACTAATATGCTTATATACCATCATAGGCATATCTACTGATACGGTAAAAGGTTCACAATAGAAAATTAAATGAAGGAATTATAGTATACATCACATGTAATTCCACTGCCAGTAAACATTGACTGATATAATTATGTATGCATGTATATATAGATTTATAAACACACAGCCATAATTACTGTATGACTTTAGTATGAACTATCTTCTAATGCATTGAAAGCTGTTGGTGCTACTTTAGGAGGTGTAGACCCTTTAGACAGCAAGTCATAGCTAGAGGAAATAGGTCACTGGGTCATGCCCATACCTTCTTTTCCATCTTTTGGTTTTTCTCTACTTAATGGCTCCCATGAGTTAAGAAGCTGTCCTCTACTTAGGCCTTCTGCTGTGATATACTGCCTCACCAGGCCTAGAGATACTGACCTTAGACTGAAACTTCTGAAACCACTTGCCAAAATGAATACTTTGTCTTTTTAATAATAGGGTTCTATTACAGCAACAGAGAAGTGAGTACATATATATACATAGAGAGTTTAGTTTTGCGTAAGTGATTAAATATGGAGATAAGACCTCAGTGCTGTTGCTAAGGAGACATCTATACCATGTATGTGCACACAAGCCTAACTGCAAGTGAACAAGTGAGAGATTGTGTGTGTGTGCATGTGTTTGAGAGAAAGAGAGAGACAGAGACAGAGAGAGTCAGAGATATACACTAACACTGACTGAATCACTGGCTTGGAACTTCCCAAACAGGCTAGGATGGATGGTCAGTGAGCCCTAGGGATCCACCTGTCTCTGCTTCTGCAGCACTGGGATTATAAGCAAGAACTGCAATGCTCTGAATTCATATCCCTGTGATAGCACAGCTATTTCCTCAGTCTGTATAAAGAGTATTGATGAGCCAAGATTTTAACTGTTTATCAACAGAAAAGAAAAAATTAGACTTTAATTCATGTTATTTTTTCTGAAATAAACACATTTTCTGTAATTATTTAGCAATTCTGTATTTAAGTGGTTGATAATAATCATCTGACTTGGTTATCTTTATTTCTTTGAAATAGTATAAGCAACACCCATTTCTAGGACTTCTCTGATTTCATTTCTCATTTTAAATAAGAAGGAGAAATCATACATGGTCATTATGTTTCAACTATCCCCAAGGCATGTAAATCTCTAATATCCCATCCATGATCGGGATGTGTAGCATGTACAAGTGAGCACCTGCTTTTCATGAGGGCTGCATTTCAAGAAGATATGAGTATGGCGTAGATCACCTACTAGCACTTCCTTGAGCAACAGCACTTCACAGGCTAGTCTTACCTCACAGCTCCTTCAGATACATTCGGCACTGAGAGGGTCACATCCAGAGAATTCTGACACTGACTTCTCAAGATGGACATCATCCTCAAGGCTTCTACTTCGCTCCGGGGGGCATTTACCGAGGCACAGCCTAAGTAAGTCAGTTTGCTGAAAACCACACTATCCTCATCAGTCACTGGTGTGAAAGGACTTGACACTTCAGAATCTGAAAGAAACAAAAATAAGTATATGCTTCTCCTTCTTTTAAAGAGTGTTGACATGAACAGCAAATAAACATCTAAAAGACACATTTAGGTTAAAAAATTAAGTACTAATTACAACAGTATGCCATATTCGGGGGGGGGGAGGGGGGGGGAGGAGTCCACGGGACCTAGGCAACTTACATTATAACTATAATACCAAGATTTTTATGGATTGATGTTAAACCCAAAATGTGATCTGAGATTCAGATCTAACTCATGATTCTCCTAATTTGTTTTGACTTTATAATTTACATTCAAGCCAAATATACATTTAGTATCCAACTACTCTGAAAACACTGATGTCTCCTGGTTACGGCTACAATGCTTCCTGTCCCCAGCTAGCTCCTCCACTACTTCTTTTAACACCCAGACTCTACTTTAATAAGTTGCTCTTGGAGATAAGCTCTCCTAAGTGCTCTGGCCTGTCTTCCCTGTGCTTCTCTCCCATTTCTAACTTGCTCTCTGACAGGTTACACGGGCCTGCACACACATCTATTTTCTAACACTGTAAACAAATTTCTTCCTTCCTGGAAGACTTTGGTTGTTTCTGATTTCCTGGAAAACTTGTTAAGCCACCTGAAGACAGACTTCCTTCTCAGCATCCTTTAACTACTATTTTTCATTCTTGAGTGTTAACAAAAATACAGTTGAAAGAAAATCAGAATGGCGAATGTATCTGACAACTTCTCAAATGTAGAATTTGGAGCTTTTAGAGGACTTATAATGGTTTTCATGTTGTTCTTGAATCTAGTCCAGGAGAGAAGACACTCAAGTATTAAAAACAATAAGCTTCAGTTATACAACAATGCAGTAATCCTAACCTCCTTGTCCAGGTTTCACTGGCAGGCTCATCTCTGGTTTCTGCAGCCCTACTAGAGACACAGGGTTAATGGTGGACGAAGCTGAGAGCTGATTAGAAAGAGGCCCATCTCCTTCACCATCCAGTTGTGACCTTTCCCCTGGCTGGTCGTCCATGGGAGGATCCATCAGCACATCTGCTAGCTCTTTCTGCAGCTGCTGCTCACTTCCATTCCCTACAATCTAAGGGTCACAAATACATGGAATCAGCAAAATGAGAGGCCAGCACTGATTAAAGTAGGTCCATGTTCTAAAGCAAAGTATCACCATCTCTTTTATTATAAAGATATCTTCTGATTTCTCTTAAATGGGCGATCTGCAACAAATAAAGGCTGTAGCTGTTCTCTGCCTTCAGTTTTCCATAAAAAAAGTACACAATGAATCCAAAACTAATATTCAGGAAATAGGTAACATAACAATATTAACATTTTCTGTTTAATAGCTTGTCTTAAGGAAATGTGTTTGCTTCCAAAAGGTAAAAGAAATATGAACTACAGTAAAATTTCACATATAGCTTATGACTCCTCCTATAAATAAGTCTCCTTTATTCTGGGGAAGACTTTTTGATATTAACTGGTCTTTAAAGTGCTGAGACTTGTGAATAAATCTACAACGTAAATCAGTCAGCCCTGAGAAATAACAGCACTGTGTTCCAATGATGCTTGTTTTGTTTTGTACTAAGTTATACCCTGGACTATAATAGTATATCATTAGTTGCTCATGAAAGGAAGCGAAGAATTGAAAAAAATCAAGTAAGACTGCTCATTGTTAAAAAACCATGCAGGTAATAAGACAAAGTATTGTTACTGTTTACTCAAGAAAAATACTAAAAATAGGGACGGGAGAGATGGCTCAGTGGTTAAGAGCACTGTCTGCTCTTCCAAAGGACCCAAGTTCAATTCCCAGCATCCACATGGCCGCTCACAAGTGTCTGTAACAACAATTTCAAGGGATATCTCACTTTCATACTAATGCACATATAATAATATTAAATGAATTATTAAAAAAAGAAATACTAAGACTAAAACTAATACTAAAATAATTAATTTTAGAAAAAGTTAAATGAGAGAGCTACACTAGTGGGCATTCTGAAGACTACAAGTCACCAAACCTTTATGCTCATTGTACATTTTAGTTCTGGAATTTTCAGCTAACATTTTAAAAGTAATCTATCTCCTTATGACTGGTTTTCCTAATTGCCTGTCTGGTGCCCATAGAGGCCAGAAGAGGTTGGCAGAATCCCTGGAATTAAAGCTTCAGACAGCTGTGAGCCACCATGTGGGTGCTGGGAATCTAACCTGGGACCTCTGGAAGAGCAGCCAGTGCTCTTAACTGCTAGTCCATCTCTCCAACCATCTTTACTGATACTGTATATAGATGTCATTGTCCTGCAAATATCTGTTCTGTAAGCAGGATACTGTATATAATTTGCTGGACTTGGCAAAAAAAGACTACTTTGAAACACAGTATATAGTTTTATTTTTGTTGTTGTTTTCCAAAGACAAGGTTTGTCTTTGTAGCTCTGGCTGTCCTGGAAATGCTGTGTTAAATTCAATGGTCACCGACTAGAATTTTGTTGCCTGCTTTTTGTCTTCTCTGTGTACGGATAATATTTTGTATGTCTAACTTTTTTATTGTTGTTGTTGGAAACCAGACACTATAGACAAAATGTTGTACTGACTCAGGATACTGATGACCCCATGTTAGAACTTATTGTTTACACTTGTTGACAATGAAAACACTAAGAGCTGTTTTATCACTTGGCAGTTCCCTACAAACAAAAATGTGAGTCACTGCTCTAGACTCTAGGAAGGGAACAAAGGCCTTCCCCAACCCCATTTTCTTTCTTTTTATCTTATTCTTTTCATATGGTATGTTTTGATCACATTTTTTGATAACATTCCCTGTTCCTTCCAAGCCACCTCGTTGATTATGGCAGTTTGTAGAGCAGATACTGTACTGTTTCAATCAGGTAAGAGAGAAAGAACAAGATGGAGATGCTTAAGTATGAGATTCTTACCATAGTTTCATTATTAAGACTTTTCATTTGCTTTTCAAAGATCTCCAGACTTTAAATGCTATTTTATATTTTTGTCGTAATAATTGTCACCAGTGCTTCTGGGAGTAGGTCATGCTGTTATGTTGGAAATTGCTCTCGGCAAGTTAGCTTTTTAAAATGTAAATTAGATCATGTTCCCATTCAAAACTTTCAAAAAGTCTCCTCACGTTTAGAACAAAGTTCAAGTTTGCTACTAAGCTCCAACAGAAGCAGGCATGCAGTGGCCCTACTGACCCTAGATCACACTGCCCCACCGTGCTCTGCTGGAGCCTCCACCCTCTTCATGTCTGTTTGGAAAGTTCCCCATTTCATTTAGGGCTCACCTCCAATAGCAAATATCATTTTTTTTTCCTATCTACCTACCTATCTATCCATGTCTTTTTGAAGCAGGGTTTCTCTGTGCAATAGCCCTGGATGTCTTGGAACTCACTTTGTAGACGAGGCTGGTCTCGAACTCAGAGATCTACCTGCCTCTGTCTCCGAATGCTCTGAAAAACAATCCTCTGAAAAATAATCCTAAAATTAAAAATGCTTATAATGTAAGTTTTGACAGGGGTTTTAAAAATTTTAAAGAAGGTTGGGCATAGTAACACATGCCTTTAATCCCAGCACTCAGGAGGCAGAGGCAGGTGGATCTATGTGAGTTTGAATCTAGTCTCGTCTACAAAGGAAGTCCCGGACAGCAAGGTCTACACAGAGAAACCCTGTTTCAAAAAACAAAACAAAACAAAAATTAAAAGCTAATCAAAATAAAAATCCTTTAAAAAAAATAACTCATTAAGCATACATAAAACTCTTCAACACCACTGAAAAGTATGTCTGTCAATTCTGTGTTCTCTTCCACTCTTTTTTTTTTTTTAATTAACCCCAAGTAGTGCACAAGGTTTAACAAGGCACACTTATGCTGCCAAGCTTTACCTTGAGTCCTGTCTTCTCATCATCACTTCCGTTGTTTGTAGATGGCGTCTCATCTCCTTGCCTGGAAACCAAGACAAAATCTTCACTATTAAGAGTAGACACGGAGTCTGAGGAGACACTGATTTTTCCAACAGAAGCCTTGTCATCCATAACTCAGGAATGAGGCTCAACTCATGAATGCTTAAATATTTTCTAAGTGCCTGAAAAACAAAAACCATAAAGATTCATATAAAATGTCTGTCAGATATTTAGTTATTCAGTATCCTTTAAAGTATATTGATATATATCAATATATTCTTTATATCAATATATATTGGTATTTTTTTTAAGCTTGTAAAATATTTTCCCAGGATACTTGTTACTTGTAATTTAGGCTTTCATTATGATAAGGGCATTCTGTGCTATGTAGGTCAAGATATTTCAGATTCCAAATAAATAAAACACTCCCTTCACAATAACCCCACCTACGTACAGGGCTGCCTTTGGCACATATTGCAACTAGGTCTTGGCTTCCAAAAGCAAAGAGAAACTCAACCTTACTTTAAGTATAAATAAAGTTAAAACACTTGGTTATTGTGAAAGTAACTATATTTTCCTAGCTTCATCAATACTAAAGTTTAAAATATTAGGATGGTTATAGAAAACAAAATTTCACATTATTAAACAAGAGAGATAAATTCAAGGCAGGGGAAGCAGAAATTCTACAGCTGGGAAAAATCTTCCATTAAAGACTGAATCTTCCCACACCTTAAATTTCTCATAACTCAAATCAATATTATAAAAAAAAAAAAAACAGCTACAGCTCTATTTTTATCACATCAATAAAGGTAAGTGTTTAATCTCTCCAACTCAAGTGTTGGCTTATACTTTGGAATTTTTAGAAGATCATGTTACCTGTGTGTGTGAGTGTTTTCCCTGAGTGTATGTATGTACACGTGTGCAGTACCTAATGAGGCCAGAAGAGAGTGTCAGATTCCCCACTGGAGTTAATGATGGTTCAATTCCCATGTGGGCACTGGGAATTGAACCGAGAACCTCTGCAAGAGCAGTAAGTGCTTTTGACCACTGAGAAATCGCTCCAGGCCCTGTGCTTTGATTTTTTTTTTTAATTATTTATTCATTATATACACAGTGCTCTGCCTGCACAAACACCTGCACACCAGAAGAGGGCACCAGATCTCATCATAGATGGTTGTGAGCCACCATGTGGTTGCTGGGAATTGAACTCAAGTCCTTTGGAAGAGCCAGTGCTCTTAACCTCTGAGCCATCTCTTCAGTACCTGTGCTTTGAATTTTAAACTGAACACATACTGACTGAGCACACATCATATGCCAAATATAATTTTCTCTTCTAAGGCTCTCTACAGTGCTCTGCCTGCACGAACACCTGCACACCAGAAGAGGGCACAAGACCTCATTCTGGATGGTTGTGAACCCCCATGTGATTGCTGGGAATTGAACTCAGGACTTCTGGAAGAGCAGACAGGGCTCTTAATCCCTGAGCCATCTCTACAGCCCCTTTTACTTATTTGTATCCTGCTTAAAAATTATGGAGTCAGAACTGGGTGGTGGTGAATGCCTTTAATCCCAGCACTCCCAAGAGGCAGAAGCAGGCCAATATCTGTGAGTTTAAGGCCAGCCTGATCTACAAAGTGAGGTCCATAGAGAAACCAAAAATATTATGAACTCATGCATTTAACCAACACACTAGAGGTGCAAGCAAACAGATCTCTGTGCGTTCCAGGACAGCCTGGTCTAAGTGCTGAGTTTTAGGCCAGCCAGAGCTACACTGGTAGACTGTGTCAAGAAAACAAACAAATAAAATATATTTTACAAGACCAACTATAAATACACAGTAAGGAAGGGTACAGTGTGCTCACTAGAGGAAGGAGGACTGCTGCATGTTTGGAGGCAGCCTTGGGTACATAGTAAATTCCTGTTTCAAAAATGGTAAAATAGGGGCTGCAGCAATGGCTCAGTAGTTAACAGCACTGATACTCTTCCAAAGCACCTGGGTTCAATTCCCAGCACCTACACGGCAGTTCACAATTGTCTATAACTTCAAGATCTGACACCCTCACACAGACATGAAGGCAAAACACCAACGCACATAGAATAAAAAGTAAGTTATTTTTAAAAAATGATCAAACGGGTAGGAACATGGCTCAGCAGTTAAGAGTACTTTCAGTTCCTGCAGAGGACCCAGGTTCTTTTCCTAGCATGCACGTCATGGCTCATAACCACCTGTAATTCCAGGTCCAGGGAACCCAGTGTCTTTTGGCCCCTGTGGGTGGCATATGTGGTGCACATATATAATACATGCAGGCAAAATACTCATAAACATAAAATAAAATTTTTAAAAATTAAAAAAAAATTCAGTGAATATACAGTACAAGATTGAAAAATACCCAGCACTCAGGAGAGGCAGAGGCAGGCAGATCTCTGAGTTTGAGACCAGCCTGGTCTATAGTACAAGTTCTAGGACAGCCAGGGCTACACAGAAAAACTGTCTTAAAAAAAAAAAAAAAAAAAAAAGACTGAAAATGGTTTTCTGAAAAGCCAAAAGATTTTCCTTCATCCACCGAATTTTAAACATTTTAAACACATTAAACATTTGCTAAAGGTAATGTTCGTAAAATAAATAATAATGTTAGTAAAATAGCAGAGAGGCAAATTTAAACAGGCTAATACATGCTGATTTAGGGTACCAAAATAAGAGACACATTGAGGTAAGCATTAACTTAGACCTTTGCTGAGGACAGAGTTCAGCTCTTTCAGGATTAGACTTAGTAAGAGCACCCTACAGTGGTTTCCTGTCTTCTGTACATGATCAGCTCCAGTTTGGTCTATTCATTCCACTTTCAGGAAGCTTCTTAGTCCACTTGTCCATTTTTACTTGAGTCAAAGAATGTTCCCATTGCAGCCAAGATTTCTTTTTCTTTTAAAATAACAGTATGTTGCTTTTTAATGTTATGGTGAATGTGTCCTAATTTAATCTTCACAGTGCTCTTTTACAGATAACAAAATTATCGAGTGAGATGATGTGACTTGGTCAGAGTACTGTAACTGACAGAAATCAAGACAAAAATTGTATTGTTATCTGTGGGTCCCAAAGTAGAATTCTACTAAGACAAACATGCCTGTTTAATGTCTAACATCTCAGTGCTGAGAAGTCTCTTTTAAAGCTTGTATTTTAAGTTACTTTCTCATGCTGAATCAACCTATTCTGAACTGAAGTTAATATGCAACAACTGCAGAAGGCCTGGGAAAACTGTCCAAAATCTGACCCCAGAGTTCTAACAACTTTTAGTAATACTCTGAGGTCAGAAAGACTTAGGAGGCTCAAGGTCTCACCTGTTTTCTTTAATGTACTGTGTTGTTGTTCGATTTTTCTTCTTCTTCTTCTTCTTTGAGAAAGGGTTTCTCTGTGTAACAGAGCCCTAGCTGTCCTGGACTCACTCTGTAGACCATGCTGGCCTTAAACTTACAGAAATCTACTTGCCTTTGCCTCCCAAGGGCAGGGACTAAGTACATGCGTGGGCTACCATGGCAGCCCCCACCTTTCCCACCCTTTTTTATTTTTTTAACTGAAAATGAGTCACTAAGCAGGAAACACTACAAAACACTACACAGTAAAAGTCCTTCTCTATAGGAAGGAATCTCCATGGATAGGATCAAGAGCCCTCCCCAGCTTCCATCATGAATAAGCAGCACAGAAATTGAAATATACCTCTCATAATACTCTTACAAACTTACAGCCTTTGTCTCAAGACACTAAGGACTAATGTTGCTTTGTTTTAAAATTCTATTTTTATGTTACCACAAGCCACTTACTCTAGATTCTCCACCCTTCAGTATCTAATGCCAATTTCCATAGAAACTAAAGTACCAACTTCCCTGTGAAAAGAGTTGATTTGTCTTCATCTATTTCTACAAGTCTACATGGCACATCTTCACCACTTAATAAATTTTATTCTTTTGCTTTTAAATATCACATAAACTAAAAATTCAAGTTCCTTTTTCTGTTTTGTTAATGCCTGTTATCTTTAGATCCTCAGGCAATGTCTGATAGCAGATGTTCAAATGTTTATTAAAGAAGCAGGAGCAACATCAGATAAAGATGGAAAAGACAAGGATGCCTGGTGAGAAGAGAATGCCAATTTTATTTGGGGATATGTAGGAAGGATGGAGATAGGTCTTGTTATATAATCCAGGCTTGCCTAAAACCTATGACCTCCTGAATACTGTTCTTATTTGTGACAATGAAGCATGCAATTTGAAGTTAGGAAACAAACCAAATTAGGATACTAAACCTAGGGTTAGGGTTTTGGCTTAGAGGAACATCACATTCATAGCAGGTGAGAGGTGCAGAATCTGATCCCCTAGCACCAAAACAAATAGAAAAACCTTATCCCACACCAGTTATACTATGTGCTAGTACACTGGTTATACTATTACTTAATTATTTAGGCCAGTTATACAGTTTCTGTAACAGAAAATGAGACAATACCTGTTTCATAGAGCTACTATAAATTTACTATGGGCTTTATGTGGATATATACACTCAAAATACTCAAAATACACACAGAATGTTATATGCACTCAAATAGTAAAGCTTTTTAAAATAAAAAAAAAAACTTAGATATTAGCTAACTTAATTCAATTTAGGAAACATATTACAAGAGCAAAATATATGATTTCCTAATTGCACATTGTAATATATCTTAATCTAAATAAAGCAAATATAAAGGAATACTTTGAAGAGAAAAATCCTGTTTTTATAGAACAGAGTAAAATGTATCCTACTTACAGAGGAAAGAATGTCAGCACTTTGGGGATGAGGACAGTAAGAGAGTCCTATGTTGCTTAGGATGGCCTCTAACTCACTTTGTAGCTGGGAATAACTATGACCTCTTAGGATTACAGGTGGTGTTAGCACACCTAGCTTATGAAGTGTTGGGGATCAAATCCTGGTCTGCATACATGCCACACAAGCACATTATGAACAGAACCACAGGCCCAGGCCTCCCATCTTTATGTAATATACACATGAACACCTTGGTGTTTGGTAGATACTAAAAGAGTGTCTCTTTCTTTCACAAGAGTGATGAAATTCAAACATGTTACCCAGAGCCCCATGTTGGTAAAAAGAACTCTGGATGTTTCCTTTTTTACATTTAATGAAATCAGGCCAGGTATG